TAAGGTACTGTCAGTTTTATCACATATATATTTTTCACCATCAGTGCAAATGTCAACACAGTGAAAAAGGCAAGGTAACCTTTTCCAGGGTCTCAGATTACATTTTGAAAACTGGTGTTGTGCCTTATGTTTCATTTATATGAATCTTAACACGTACCTCTGAAATTAATTTACATGTCTCTTTGCTTCACTGAATAGAATATTCTGGCCTTAGGTCATCAATATGAACATGAGTTATTGTACTGGGTTGTAATATRTGTAACATAACCTTAGGGCAGTACAGGTGCTGTTAAACACTAAATTAAACTAGGATGCTTTAGCAATTCAGTTTACTATGCATTCTATACCTTCCTTCCGAGTTCTAGCAGCTGCCAATCCCATTGTTTCTAATCATTTTTCTACAATTCAGAATGCTTTAAGTATTGCAGGGTAAACTAATTTACCATGATTAGTGTTTCTTTACCAATTTAATTTGATCAAGTCTCTCCTGTAAAAGCATTAGTACATTTCCTTAAAAACAAAGTGCTGTTGTTCACTGATGACCTCTTGTTCAGTGATGACCTCTCCCTACCCAACTTGCCCCTGAAAGCTTGTATCTCACGCTTTGGGAATTGACTTTATTCTAGATGCTAAAGCTGCTGGAAGTCTAAAATGCTGCACAGGAGGAATTATCATATTGTATGTGACATAGTTGAATACTTGAAATCCTTCAGATTTCTATGTGATCCCTGGAAGACGTGTGGTCAGCTGCTTTTGGAGGCATTTACTCAACCTAAAGCAAGGACTTCTGGGCTGTGGGTCTGCCCACTGTTGGGTGATGCTCTGTGCCTAGCAGAACAGAGGACAAATTAGAAAAGATGCTTAATTTTGAATTTGTTTGTTGGACAAAATTACCTGGCAACTGCAAAATCTGCATTTCTCTAAATATTCTGTTGGTAGAGAGGATAATATGACCAAGTGTATGGGATGGTTGCCGTGTATCTCTAATTAGAAATAAAAGTGCCCCAAATTCATTGTCACATTCTAATTGTGAATTTTTATTTACTGGGTTTGGGTCTTCATATTTTACTCCAGAAATTCTGTGTAACAGCCACACTCCACGAGATGTTACTATTAAGGGTTCATAGAGCAGTGCCTGAAAATTGATGCTTTACATGATTTGAGAGCGCTCGCTCGCTCTCTCTCTCTCTCTCTCTCTCTCTCTCTCTCTCTCTCGGCAAAAGAAATCATTTTGAGGAAAATGCATCATTCAATTAAATATTATTAAAAGTCCATAGAAACATTAAAAATATAATTATCGATAATTCCCTGCTCTTAAGGAGCTATTATTTTAAAATATTACATTTTCTTCAAGCTCTTTTCATGAATGCCTGTCAATTTATTTTGCTTGCAACTATTTTATCAAATTATTTTTCTTTTTATTGTTCATTAATTTACAGATGAAAAATTTTAATTTAAAAAATAGTTTTGGATTTAAAACTTGCAAAGACAGTATGCCCTGTTTCCCCTATTATTAACATAATAATAATAATGGGTTGAATAGTGGTCCCCGAAAATAGGGACAGTGCAGATGTATTTAATAATCCTGTGCTAAGATCATGCTGGATGTACTGTGGTCCTTAAACCTAATAGGACCAGTGTGCTTATGAAAGGAGAATTAGCATGTGAGCACATGGAGGGACCAGGGAGGAAAGCCAGGTGACAAGGGAGACAGAGATGGGAATTATGCATCTGTAAGACAAGGAAGGTCAGGATGGCTGTAACCTCTAAAAGCTAGGGGAGAGGTGAGAAAGAACTCTTTGAAGGGAACACAGCCCTCCCCAGGCCTTGATTGGAGAACTGTGAGAGAATCTGTCATCATTGGGAAACTTATAATATCTACAGAAGTAAGGTATTTTGTTAAAATTAATAAACCAATATTGATACACTATTAAAATTAATAAATCAGGATTAAATAATTGAATAATTAAAATAATTAAATTAAAATTTAAATAATTAAAATTTATAAACCAGTATTGATACCTTTTTTTGCATTTTTAAGAATTTGTTCTAATTAGTTATACACGACAGAATGCATTTTGACACATCAAACATAAATGGAGTATAACTTCTCATTTCTCTGGTTGTACATGATGTAAAATCACACATGTAATCATATATGTAAGTAGGGTAATAATGTCTAATTCATTCTACTATCCTCCCATTCCCACTTTCCTCCTTTCACTTCCCTCTGCCTAATCCAAAGTACCTCTATTTTTTCCTAAGGCTTCCCCCACCTTTGTTGTGATTTAGCATCCACATATCAGAAAAAACATTCAGACTTTGGTTCTTTGGGACTGGTTTATATCACTTAGCTTGATATTCTTCATCTCTGTTTACCTGTAAATGCCATAATTACATTCTTCTTTAAGGCTGAGTAATATTCCATTGTGCATATATATCATATATTCTTTCTCCATTCATCTATTGAAGGGCACCTAGGTTGGTTCCTCAGTTTGGCTCTTGTGAACCGAGCATAAGCATTGTGTGACTGTGTCACTATAGTATGCTGATTTTAAGTCCTTTGGGTATAAACTGAGGAGTGGGATAGCTGGGTCAAATGGTGGTTACATTCCAAGTTTTCTGAGAAATCTCCATATTGTTTTCCATAATGGTTGCACTAATTTGCAGTCCCACATCAGTATATGAGTGCCCATTTCTACACATCCTTGCCAACATTTATTGTTGCTTATATTCTTGACAATTGCCATTCTGACTGGAGTGAGATTAAATCTTAGATTAGTTTTGATTTGCATTTCTGTAATTGCTAGAAATGTGGAACATTTTTGCATATTTGCTGTTGATCGATTGTGTTTCTTATTCTGTGAAGTGTCTGTTCACTTCCTTAGCCCATTTATTGATAGGGTTATTTGTTTATTTGGTATTGAATAAGATCATTTTGACAATATTAATTCTGCCTATCCAAGAGCATGGGAGATCTTTCCATTTTCTAAGGTCTTTTTCAATTTATTTCTTTAATGTTCTGTAATTTTCATTGTAGAGGTCTTTCACTTCTTTTGAAAGATTGATTCCCAAGTATTACATTTTTTTAAAGAATTTTGTTGTTGTTGTTGTTGTTGATGGACCTTTATTTATTTATATGTGGTGCTGAGAATTGAACCCAGTGCCTCACACATGCTAGGCAAGTGTTCTACCACTGAGCCATAACCCCAGCCTCCAATTATTATATATTTTTTGAGTCTATTGTGAATGGAATAGTTTTCCTAATTTCTCTTTCATCACTGATGATTCATCACTGATGTATAGGACACATTTGATTTGTGGGTGTTGATTTTATATCCTGCCACTTTGCTGAATTCATTTATTAGTTCTAGAAGTTTTCTGGTGGAGTTTTTTTTTTTTTTTTTTGAATCTTTTAAATATAGAATCATGTCATTGGAAGATACAGAGAAATGTAGAAACCAAAATATTAGGAATCTGAGGAACACGCTATCAAGAATTCATAAATATTTACATTTTGTCATACTTACTTTATATTTTTTAAAATAAAAGATTATTAAGTTCTCTCAATTATGTCTTTATTTCTCTTCCTCCATAACCAAGATAAATTATTGTTATAATGGTCGTCTTTCCTGTCCATGATTTCATGTTTTACTAGTTGTAGTTGTGATCCTAAACTATAAATAACATAGTTTTTATGTTCTAGTTGTATTTTATATAAATTATAAATGTGTATGCATCTTTATGAAACTTATGTTATTCTCAATGTTATGCTTCTAAGATCYATCTATGAATCATAATTTTAATGACTTTATAGTGTTTATATGAATATGCCAAGTTTTATTCATCTCTCCAGAAGAGACATTTACTTTGGATTTTATTTTTGCTATTTCATATGCTCTATGAATATTCTGCACATATCTCTCCAAGCATGTGTGTAAGGATTTGCCTACAATATAATATACAGCTGTAAGTGGAATTGCTATAACTTGTGACATGTACTTTTTCTTTTCTTTTCCTGGTTCTTTTTAGTTATATGTGACATTAGAATTCATTTTGATATAATTATGAAAGAATGGAATATCTCTTATCCTAATTAGAACCATTCTTTTTTTAATATTTATTTTTAGGTGTAGTTGGACACAATACCTTTATTTTATGTATTTGTTTTTATGTTGTGCTGAGGATCAAACCCAGGGCCTCGCCTGTGCTGGGCAAGCGCTCTGCCGCTGAGCCATAACCCCAGCCCCTAGAACCGCATTCTTATGGATGTACATGATGGTGGGTGTTTTAATCAGCTTTTTTTGTTGCTGTGACTAAAGGATCTGACCACAATTGTAGAGGAGAAAAGGTTTTTTCAGGGGCTCATGGTTTCAGAGGTCTCCATTCCTAGACAGCAGGCTCCATTCCTTGTGGCTGGAGGTGAGGCTGAACATCATGGTGGAGTGTGTTGCAGGGGGAAGCAGCTCACATGGTGATCTGAAAGCAGGAGGAGAGAGTCTYCATTCTCCAGATACAAAATATATACCTCATAGCCACGCCTATAATGAACCACTTCCTCCAGCCACCACCCTGTTAATCCCATCAGAGATTAGGTCACTGATTGGGTTGAGGCTATGACTCAATCATTTCTCCTCCTATCTTGCATTCATTGTCTCACTGTGAGCTTTTGGGGGACAGTTCATATCCAAACCATAACAGTGGGATTCACTATGTCACGGCATATACTTTTTCTACTTTCAAATGGCCAATTTGCCGGTGTGGTTCTGCTAACTTCCTCACACCCTTAGCATCACTTGGTATTGCTGCCTTTACATTTTTTTTTTTTTTTTGCTAATTTGGTGGTTATGAAAAGTTATTTTCCCCTCACTCAGAGGCTTTGCAACCAATCAGGTCATTTTCTCAGCAACTGGAAGCAATTTTGACAGAAGTTTGAGTTTTTTTAATCTTAGGGAACATTTGTTACTATTTCTAATAGTTTTTCTATTTTATTTTCTAAGACATCTGCTTATCCAGAAATTACAAAGATGTTTTGGAATCCCACTGCACCCAAATTCTCAGTTCCAGAATGTGTCATGAGGGACATTGTATATCCAAAATATGAGGTAATGTACTGAATAACTTTTATCTATTATTACTGTTATTATTAATATTTAGGTCGTATAATTGCTTATGGCATTAAAGTTTACTGGATAGTTGTTATGTAACTTGTCAGACAACTATTGCCACCGTCAGAATTGATTGGATGTCACTATAGAAACTATTCATATGTAAATAATTTTTATGTGTATATATTATATATATGTATAAAGATATATCTGCATACTTATAAAATTAAAATTATATATATTTCTATAAGATAAAATTATTATAAAATTAAAATTATATATTTCTATAAGATAAAATTAATGTATATATTTATTTAAAGTGTTATACTTATCCATATTACTTTAGCCAGTCAAGATGAAGATTCTGTTTTCTTTTTGAAAGAATATTGTATTTGACTGAGAATCAAGATATGATGTAATACGGGTTGTTTAAAGGATTTTCATGATATTTTCATTTACTTTTATTTTGATCATTGATGAAAATTGAATAACATTTATTATCTGATATTAGATAGTGATTAAGAATCATTATTAATCTTGTTGGCAATGATAATAGTATTGTTTATATAGATTACAGTTAAGTCYTTATGATGTTGCTGGAAAACCAAATGAAAAACTAACTACATAAAACTTCCATGTTTCCATATTAGTCTTTCATGGAAAAGCAAGCTTCATTTCAAACCAACCTAGAAGAGCTATCAGGGGACCACATTTACAAAGTGGTGGGAAGGAACATACAAATGCATGTTCACTTAGCAAGGTCTCATTGGGTATACCTATTCAGTTTTCTCAGATAAAAACTAAAAAGTAGTCTTAAAAGATGCATGATATTTTGTGCCGCAGTCTGGCTGGGCACAATTCAGGAGCCACTTGTCAAAAGAAACTAACTTTATTTTTAAAACTACAAACGCCAAGCAAAACAGCTCCTCAGGAAAAACCCTCAGAGCCCAACTGCCACCACCGGCTTCCACA